GGGAAGGGGCTGGAGTTTAGGGGCCCAGTCTCCCCCATCTCAAGGGGGCCTGAGGCATCCTAGCCCAGCTCTGTGACCAGATTACATCTGTGCTGTGCTGTATCCTGGAGAGGCAATAAACAACCTCCATTACACCAGCTGGTGCAGTCTGTTTGTGCCATTTCGGGGTGCAGGAGACGGGGAAACCCCATCGTGCCGTCACACTGACCCAGCCGAAAGCCACTGACTCCAATGGAAATCGGTCTCGTGGATTCTGGGATCGCTGCCAGAGCTCTGGTGTGAACGGGATTCTTAACCTCTTTTTTTCTTCTTTTGCCCCCAGATTTCCTGTCTCAGGTGCTGTGATGTAGTGTGGGTACCTTGCTGGTTGCTATGCTGGGCAGTGGGCTGTGGGTGACCTTCACTGGCTGCTGTCTGTAGCTTGGCCCAGCAGGGCAGGGGAAGAGCCATTATGCAAAGGGGGCTCCATACCTGTCTGACCAGCTATCCCCCAGGGAGCGGAACAATGGGAAGAAGGGGAGTGGAGCCCTGGCTGGGGGCAGGGCTGGAAGTGAGTTGGTTATTTCCGTCTGGTAGCATGAAGGAGACAGCCTAGGGAAAGGGGCTGGGATTTAGGGGTCCAGTCTCCCCCATCTCAAGGGGGGGCTGAGGCAATCTAGTCCTGCTCTATAACCAGATTACATCTCTGCTGTGCTGTATCCTGGAGAAGCAATAAACACTCTCTATTCTACTGGCTGGTGGAGTCTGTTTGGGCCACTAGGGGGGTGCAGGAGACGGGAAAACCCCAACGCGCTGTCCCAGGTGCAGCTGGTGGAGTCCGGAGGGGATGTGAAGAAGCCCGGAGACTCTCTGCGCCTCTCGTGCAAAGCCTCCGGCTTCACCTTCAGTGACTACCAGATGGAATGGATCCGGGAGTGGGTAGCCCTGGTGAGCAAGCCCACTGGCTCTAAACAGTATTATTCCCCGGCTGTTCAAGACCGATTCACCATCTCCAGAGACAACTCCGTCTCCGCTCTGCACCTGGGCATGACCGGCCTGAAAGAGGAGGACACCGCCCGCTATTACTGTGCGAGACGCACAATGAGAGGAGATGGATTTATACTCAGACAAAACTCTTCATCTGTTGCCTTGTTTCTTCAACTGTGTTCGGCGGAGAACGCTCAGGTCTGTCGCCACCGCTTGAGGAAACATTGCGGCCGCTAGAGCCGCGGCGGGGGGGGCGAAGGGGGGGAGG